CTAGGTTTGATTTGTTCTTTTCAAATAAAACTCATTTAAACACGTGTTTGGTTCAGCAACAACAGCAGTTCTATCTGTTGTTATTTCAGATATGACAGAAAGTCATATCTGACGTGGGTTTTTTTTATGCAGCAGAAAGAGGAAGAGGGATTTTGTATGGTGCACGGTAATGAGTTTTTCTGCAGTGGCCTCGTCTGTTTGGTCCCTGCATTGTGACAGTCATATTTCCGGGAGCCATTCATTGATTGTTGTGTTGGATGTTCTGTGTGACAGCAATCCACTTATGTCAAGGGATGGAAGGGGAACAGGAACATATGTTCATCTGAGACATCAGGGATCAGAGATTGAAAGGTCGACAATGAATCACAAACATGTCCCTGAATGCTTTTTAGGCTATAAAGCAAAGTGTGGAAAGCTCCTCATCTTGCTTTTAGAAACAATCACTGATTCATGCCATACTGTAAATTAATTTGCAGAGAAATTCAATTAATGCTGAAGAGCTTTTTGTAAGATGCTAAATTAAAAAAAAGAAGAGGTAGGAGATTATTTTTTAAGACGAATAACAGTGCTTTCCACCTCCCAGAGGTGCTATTAAAGAGCCCCTCATTCATCACAATTAACCTGAGCGACTATTAGTGAATCGTTAATTAGATGTTGGACTGTGTCTAATGAATCGCAACACACGCTTAGCAGCATTGAATCAATGGTTATTGACTCAGGCATTTATTGGAGATTTTTATAACAGTTTTGGAAAAGAAAAATGTAAAGGTAGAAAGGTAGTACATTAGCAAAGAAGCTCACTGTCAGTTCACAGTGCACTTTATAAAACATGGTACAAATTAATCCTAGTTTACACCAAAGATTCTCAGTATGATGACTTGTAGCTTTTAACTACTTGCAAACATTGGTCTGCAATGTTCTGAAAATCTGCCAGTTTACATCAATGTAGTCTCTATATACAGACTCTACATTCAGTGAATGTAGAGTCTGTAGGCAAACCCTGGAGATCTTGCCTCCGTAAGAAGAGCGGAAGATCCCTGGTTTCCGGTTGTAGGCTGTTTGTAGTCCGCGTGATATTGACCAATCACATTTGAGCCGGCTGCAGTTGTTGCCAAGTTAAATGGTCCGTGCAGTGAACTAACGAGGCGGAACATAATTGGCGTCACTGCAAACTCTGAATCCATCGCAATGGTTCAGCTTATATACTTGTATATAAATGGAAGTCCGAAACGGAAATTCACCTCCTCTGCCCAAATCAAACCAGAATGCCAAAAAATCGGGGGTTTGCCCCCAGAGGCTGTATCGCCGTCTGCCGGAAGTCAGACGCTGAATACAGCCGATGGGTTCCGAGAATGACATCAATGCAACTTGACAGGATGGTATATTATCTCCATAGCAATGACTCTCTGTAACAGTGATAGTGAGATACTTGCAACAGTTGCATTTCTACAAGTAGTACTAATTAAATGACGAAAACAAACAAGCTTCGTAGTCTACCACGAGAAATAGGCTCCCATTTTTTGTAACCTGTATTTTTAGGACCCTAATGGTGTCTAGTTGAGAATTTTTCTTGTTGCCAAGGTCAATTCATGGCCCATTGGGTTCATTTGGCGGCCATTTTGAATTGATGTCCACGCTTATGGCGAAAAACGCAGACTTTCATAACCCCTGAACCACACAACATACAAAGACAAATATACCCACTTTTTCATATAATTTGGACACCAGGAATTGAATGGAAAGGTCACTGACATGCTACAACCACTCTCTATTAGTAAAAAAGGGCAAATTACACAATTTAGGCTCATAACAATATAACTTCGGCTATTTTGTTTCGCAGTTGTTTCCTGCAGTTACCAAATGTAGCTACTTTATTATCTTACATACATCTCAAGGTTATTAAATGGATGAGGTCTGTGACACCAAGGTGGGTCAGTTTGAGGTTGGTGAGGAGGACCTGGAATCAGACCAGGTACTGGAGGAAGTGTGAATAACGCTGCCGCATGTTAGGTGTGGCTTATGTTAAATAAGCTTAGATAAGTTTCCCAATCTTACATATGTATAAGGTCACAGCTTTGTTCAATACAATTACCTGGAGTAGTTTTGACTGTCAAAGGTGAAGAACAAGTCCGCCATGTCCCCATTGTGCTTAAGGGGTCGCGCCAGATCATTGGTCTTCACAGAGAAGAGGAGCTTGGAAACGAACCGCCTGCGGTCCATGACAGACAACAAGAATACCACTTTCTTGCCGAGATGGGATAGACTATCAGATGGATAATAAATATGCCAAAATCTTACAATAACCAGCGCCCGTTGATCAGTTAGTATGTGTGTAACATGCACATATGCAGCAGGCAGCAGCAGCGACACAACCTGAGGACAGAGACTGACATACATGTCTACAGCAGCAGGGATGTACCTGACTGACAGGACTTAGGCTGGACAGGGATGGAGGGCTGTTTTCAGAGAATGCCACAACAAGCGAACACGCTGTCCGCTGACAGTTTGTAACTGACTTGACCAGCAGGCTTCACAACAAGCCAGTTGGTCGTTGAAACAGGTGACCTGCCTCCTGTTTTCAAACCAGCCACTTGCAACTTGACATGCTAAGTCGCTGGTGACACCATCAGCTGACTTAAGTCCAGCTGAGACAGGCCAGTTCACACCGTTGCAGAGGAACAACTTTCCCCTGCAACATTCTAAAACATTTCATCTTGAATCTTTGGTCTGATCTGGACTTGACTCTACAGTTGCAGTTGTAGAACAGATTGACAGTTTGAGGCTGAGGAAGATGATGATCTTCCACACGTGACTAATTTCACGCATCCGTCAGAAACTCTACATGTCTGTTCCATTCATAAATTTCACCACCTGTCTCCTACAAAATACTAGAGGAAAATTTAAAGCAGCAATTGAAGAATTCACACCGGCTTTTCTGCTGAGAAGAACTGAGGTGAATATCAGACCTCGTCTCGTGTGCCGCTCTGACTCTAAATTGCATTTGATTGGCTGCATGTTCCTCTTGACAAAAATAGGGATGGAGGTGAGGAGTTGCTAAGAAAAGAGGTATAATCACATGAAAGTATTTTGGTATTCGGGGAGAAACTCTCTCTCCTGCACTGTTTGGGTTTAGTGGCAAAACACAACTGACACGTCTGAAGTGCGGTGAGGATGACATTGTCTATCTGCTCTCTATTAAAATGCCAAATCTTTTTTAAAAAACACATATGCTCGAGATAAAATAAAACCAAGGCCTTTTTTTAAAGGGTTGTAATCCAAAAGCTCAGATTTATTTCTTTTTATTGCGACAGTAAAAAGCAAAGAGGGAAACATTGGAGCCGTAGAGAAGTGAGAACCAAGGGCATTTGATCAACAGCAGGGTCATTCTCAGCTGTGAAAGATGCACATACCAACTCCACGGAGCAGAAAGGTAACAAGCAGGGGTAAAGAGAACTCTTGTCAAACACACAGTAAACATTCATGGCCTCATAAACTGTGTACTCTTGCCAAGGAGTTGATTACAGGCAGATTCCATCATGTAAAACCGGCGGCTTTACTTTAGTATGTGTGATAGTACCACGGGCCACGCTGCCCTAAGCTGGCTCTCCCAAACATGCCTCCAAAGTCCAGCACGTGAGCATTTGCTTGGAATTACCGCTCACATGATGCAAATCCCATCTTTACTGTATCAGAGCGATTTTAATTTGCCCTCCTTTAAACAAAATACTATAACGTTGCTGTTTGTCACTTTTTAAACACTGCTTTTGCAAGTTCAGTATAAAGATGCATATTTGGGGGTTTTCCATAAAGCATCTTCTGCCCTCTGATGTGTCATCCATTTTTAATGAGACATACCAGGCTCTTTAAAGTGATTACTGGCCGCTGGCTTATCAGATTTATTTAAGAGCTTGCTAATGGCGTGATAAGGCACATTAAAGCGATAATAAGTATTTAATGAAGTTAAATGTGGTCAGGCTCAGGCCACGGAGGATTGATCCCTTTTTAAACAGGTCATAAAAAATGAACTTTGAATGCACAGATAAGATATTAAATGGTCTGGAAGTATGGGAAAAAAGTACATTATTGGCCCAATCCACTCTGGTCTAATTCTGGTTTTTGGTCCATGCAAGCTGTGTGGGATGGCGGAGCACTGTGGGATATGAATGATTTCCACTGTGATTTGGATAAACACTGCGGCGTTCTAGTTTTTAAATCCTCTCCAGCTCCTCTTCTGTCTTGTGAATCCCGTGTTTTCTGCAGGAAAAAAGTCAGATTTGTGAAACTTTTTGTTTGTCTGTTTGTGTTGCTGCATTATATTCACCTGTGGTGCATTGATAAGTGAGTTTATTAGAATATATCAGACAGAAATCACGTCATATTTGAAGGTACAGAAATAAAATAATCACTTCTTTGCATTTTTACCTGCTAGTGCTCCCTCTTTCTTTCTTTCTCTGTCTCATACATACACACACATTCACACACACCCTGAGATCATCCTGCCTGATGTCAGTGTGATTATGCAGCTGCAAAAGATGGGTGTTCCTGCTGCTCCTTTGCCAATGCTCGGGGTGGGGCTCACTGTGTCCATCTGCTCGTGGCCCTAGGAGAAAAACGCACGCACAAATGTCCACACAGTTTAAAATACGTCCACACACACATATGCACAGAAGTACACATGCACAAAATAATTACCTCAGCAGGGAATCTAGTCAGTCATGCTGAATGCCAAGGGATTCAAGGACACATACAAATCACCTAATAAATTCACAGCAAATCAAGTCTCCCCTTGCCTCAGAATGCTAAGTATTTCATTCACATTATCCCCCCAAATCCTCGCAAGCAACACCGAATCTACATAAAAAGTCAACTAAGGGTCGAGTTTTCTTAGTCGTCTTAAAACACAGACTCTTTTTTTTTTCCAATTCAGATTTACAGTGTTGAAAAAAGTGTTTGATGTTTCTGTTCTCTCTCCCCCTCTCTTTCTCTCTCTCCCTTCTTAGGGGTCTTTTTGCAAGCCATTACACTGAGACACATTACCGGGAGGATGGAAGTGCATTCACCGGTGCACACAACTTCACGGTACGGTGGCACTCGAGTGCTTTTGACATTTATGGTCCAGTTGACGTGCAGTGGTGCTCCGCAGTCACGCTGTAAAAACTGACCCTTTAAAAGTGTTCAGGAAGGCAGATGTTTTTTTGTTATAACTCATAGAGGATCAGTAGTACAGATTATATTCTACATTGTAGCTTATGCATTAGTTAAAAATCAAATTAAGGATTGAAAATTAATAGTTCAATTGTTTTTACCACCACAGTGTGACCCAGTGTGTATTTGAGCCCCTGGTCGTTGCCGAGCGGGACATCCATCCTGTGGCCTACATGATGATAAGCTGTGTTTTATGCTGGCTGTGTTTCAGCCAACATTGCCATCAGGATTTTATTATGGAATCCCCTTTCAGCAGATGATCTATCCCTGAGTACTTTTTTTTTTTTACTTTTTATTCTGTGTGCATGCTCGCCGTATAAAGCAGAGAGCCTGCTCCCCCTGAAAATGAGGAAAAGATTGATGTTCATTTTGAGTACTTATCGGGGCTCACTGTGACACAATTGATTCTTCATTGTATGATGAAGGTATTTTAACTTCGAGCCAGGTAGAAATATGGTTGCACTGCATTACAGCATGTAGGCATTTTTAACAAGCATTGTAGAGGAGGGATCACATTTCTGTGGCGTTTCAAAAACAGGTGATTTGTGTGCAGGATTTAGTGGCATTAGCTGTGAGGATTGCAGATTGCAACCATCTGAAACATCTGCCATGTGTCAAACGTAAACTCCTGGTTAGGATTCCTTCAGTGTTTAATGTTCAGGAGGTTTTTACCAGGAGCTGAATTATCCACAGAGGTCTCTTCCTCACCAGAACAAACAGACCAGGTGATTAAAACCGGTAAAAAACACTGAATAAAGGAGTTTCATGTTCCAGATCTGTGTTTCTTTGATGGTGTTTGGCTCGTCTCAGATGGCCGCTGGCCCACCTGCTAATGCATGCTCACCTTTTTCTCTGATAACTTAAGTACTAGTCCATATCCATTGGTAGCTTTGTCACCTTCTACCTATGCCAATCCTCAATGCCTATGTGCAGTTTCACATAGATTGACCACATCAGTGAGTAGAAAAACGTGGGACAGACAGAATGACTGACTGACAGAATGACACACTGACAGTTTCCGTGATTATGTACAGCATACCATACCATGACTTAGTCATACCAAAAATTAGAAAAAAAACCCAAAACATTCAGCCACAGGGGGAGCCACAGCAACTGGTCGCATTTTAGCCATTTTTAAGCATTTTTCTGTTGTTATAGCGCCACCCAGTTGCCAATTAGAGTTAAATTTCCCCAGTCACCTTGAGGCGTCCTGTTCTACATATCTACCAAGTTTAGTAAAAGTCAATATTGCGGTTAGGCCTAGATAAGAAATTAGCTCTCTAGCGCCCCCATTTTGTTTGATGGGGTCAATAATGGAGGGGTCCCCTCAGATTATGAGTGGTCATATGCCTACAAAGTTGCGTGGTGATTGGTGAAACCCTTGAGATGTTATACACCTTTATGTGATGAGCCACGCCCTCCGCAATATTCATTGCCTTATAGAAGCTCAGTTTTAGTAAGTTTTCCAACTTTTGCCAAGAGGGAACTTTAGATATTGGTCCCTAGATTATGTTCACCCAGTTTCATGCAGATCGGTCAAACTTCCTAGGAAGAGATCGATTTGAAGTGTTTTTCAAAAAATTCAAAATGGCGGAAAAGCTACATAACCAGAAGTTATGGGTTCTTGGGGCAACTTTGTTCCTCATGAGGAGAGGCGTCTCTGTGCAAAGTTTCATGTCTCTACGACATACGGGGCATGAGATATGCCCATTCAAAGTTTGCAATTTCAGTTGGTTGCTATAGCGCCCCCTTTGGCCAATTGATGTAATACTGCTTCATTCGCATCCTCCCATGACCCTCTACCACTGTGCCAAATTTCACATGGATTGACCAAGTCAGTAAGGAGAAAAACATGGAACAGACACACCCACAGACAGACAAAGTTTTCGTCATTATATAGTAAGATCAGACGTTCCGTAAGATTTTACCAGGAGCTAAATTATCCACAAAGGTCTCTTACTCTACAAAACAACTGGAACTGATGATTTCACGTTAAAAACTCAAAGTTTTCCGATGCTGTTTGGCTCATCTCATAGGGGCTGCTAACTAAGGTGGCCAACATGAAAACATGATTGTCCCTTTCTAGAACCATTGTTTGATTTGTCCGTCCTGCAGAACAACATGGCAGTTTCCATGGACTAGGACCTGCTCCCTATGTCGATATAAACGGCTCATTCTCAGATATCAAAAACACATAGATTCTTATTTCCAGGTAATTATGCACTAAAAAAAACATACCTCTTAAATTATATTCCACGCCTGCCAATATATCCCTCTAAATCCTACACACTGGACCTTTAACATATTTAACAGTCTCTTGCCTGTTTGCAGCTAAGATGGATTGAAATCATTGTTTAATTGAACGGCGGTGAAGACAGTTTGACAGGTCGCTTACAGCTCAGAGCAGAAGTGTTTGGTAATTCGGCAGTGACTGACAAGTCAATTTCCTGCAAAGTTATGCAAACAGCGTTTTCCACTCTCTCTCTCCCACCTTTAATTCTGAGTGGGAGGATGTTACAAGCGTTGCATCAGGCTGTCAAACAGACATACTGTATTGTCTTAGATAAGCCTCGCACAGCTGCACACTTTCAGTACCTGCTGTCACTGAACTCAGCAGTCAGCCATGTGTTAATCAGGGATCAGTGGAAAGACGTGCACTCTAAATAAACTCTGCTATCTTGTGAATTATCTGGTAAGACAAAGAAGTCAGTGAAAATGTAATGATTTTGCTCCTCAAGCATACAAGTCAACACCTATTAAAAAAAAACCTAAACAGTAACTGTAAATCAAGACAATTTTACCAACCCTTAAATGGGATATAAAACAGGAGAACTGGATGTTTAGCAGCTAACCAAGATGTATTCCGTTTTTATTCTGCTTTTTGTAGCTCCAGGAAATCCAAGAAATGAGCTTACGTCTAAATATTTCACTTTGAATGCATTTAGCTACTTTAAAAGTCACAGACACATTGCTGAGGAAGACAGTCACATCCCTGCCTGATGTTTTCTTGTATGAAAGGTGAACTAATCTAGGTCAAGCATAGCCTCAGCACAGAACCTTTGTAGCTGCTCTATTTTTATACTTAATGTAATGAATCTCAGTTCCATCACCACCTGGCTCAGTTACTTGTACTGTATTTGCCAAACAGAAATAGTTGGAAACGACTGTTTCATGCAAAAAAAAAATCTCACCTCAAAGTATTTCCTCCTGCAGTTCAATATTTGGGATGAGAAATGGTCAGTGTAGTGACTAATGTCAGTTGATTTAAGAGGGCTGGAGTGCAGCTAGACAGTAAATGGAGGTCTGTGCTCCCTCTTAACGAGAGTCACTTCCCCTGCTCTCCTTCTGTGCAGACAACAGTGTTCTCAGTGTGTCTGAGGAGTCTTAAAAGTCCCCTTCTCTTTCTTCTAGACCACTCTGGTGGAATGATGAAGGAAAAACAATTACCACTTTCCTGTCACCTCCCATCCGTGTCAGTTCTTCGTCTCTCTTCATCTGTGGAGGTTGCATTCGTTTCAGAGAAGCCTGTTTCTGTGAAGAGGGAAAGACTGTAACCAGCAGCTTGTTTTTTTGTTATGATACGTTTATTATTTTATCTAGTGAGTGAAGTGTTTTTCTCTTTTGTTTATAAAGGCTTCTTAAATGAACACTTTACCTCTTTCAGAACAACTGCTACTACCATGGGGAAGTCCAGGCGCATCCAAACTCTGATGTCACCCTCAGCCTTTGCTCGGGCCTTCGGTAAGAAACATACCCATCATTTAGTATTCAAGCAGCATCTCAGCACTGCCCTTTAAGTGCTATTTGCCTCTGCAATGTTTATATTTACTCCACACCGCACAGCAGCCCATCGCTCTTAAGCCCCTTAAGCGCGCTGTCAGTAAGTTGGTGTGTGGCTCACAGGAATAGGAGAAAATGTCACACCTCATTGTCTTTGTCCACAGAGGCATCCAGGAAATATCTGCCCTCATTTTGGCAGTAATTTGCTTCTTGCTGTTGCTAATGACCAAGCAGAATTGGAAGATTCAGGATATGGGCAACAAGTTCAACAATGTCATATCTGGCTTAATTGACCCTTGGCTTAAGCCCCGCCCCTTTGTGATAGTCCATCAAGCTGTCAGAGCAAGCATGGAGCCCACACCTTCACTTCGACTGCACTATGTGAAGAAATATTAAAGAAAAAAAAAACACGATTTCAGAAAGAAGCTGACAGAAAACTACAATAGGGATTTTAAGGATATATCCAGGATGTCAAACTGACTCAGCAGCAACAACAGGTTAAAAAGACAAAGACAGTTAGAAGCTAAAGCCGAACTATAGCCTACAGATCACAGTGTAAAAGTGAACCACCACTTTACCTGTTGTTGGAGACAGAAGACAATGACTATAAAGGAAAACACCAATTTTCAACCAACTATGTGTCATCGCAGTGTGCGCAGATAAACGTGTTTGGCTTCCTTCAGTGCAACCAGCGCTCGGGCCTCTGCCAGTTAATGGTTGGGAGCTCATGGGGAAGCCAAACATCTTCATCTGCGCACAATGACACACAACTGGTTGAATATCAGCAAAGTTGCCCTGCTTCCCTTCATTGGTTCCTGTAAAGCAGGGTCGGGTTTGATTGACTTTTACAATCATTTAAAAGCAAGAGCAACAGTGTCATTCAGCAGCTGGCTAACTAGCTTACCCTACACTTTCTAGGGTTTGATCTTGGTTTTGAAATGGGAAGAAACGTAAATCTTCCTCCAGCCTCTCCCGGTAACAAGTGTCATTATTGCACATGCCACAGGCACAATGTTTAGCGCTAAATCCACAAAAGCAGCCTGAAAAAGGAGAAATTGGGAAAAAATTGCATGACACTAGAAACTTCATGAAGCACAACCATATAGTTGTCAGATCCTTTTCAGAGCCAGCCCATGTTACTCTATGATTGACCAGTCTGCATTCAAGCGGCGCGACTTGGAGAAGGGTCAGTTAAACATTTTTGCAAACAAAAGAGTTTACTTTGCCAATGCAATTACAGCTGTTGACAAAGAACATTTAAGTCCCTATGAAACAGAAATTAGAGCATCTTTAGCTTCTGCATTGTGACATATTTCCCAGTGTAGGGGAATATTTGAGCTGTGTACAATTACAAGCGGGATCTACATCAAATCCTTCGTATTTGATTAGAACGCTAAAAAGTGGACAGGCTAAGGGTCTAGTGGGACATGTGGCTACAGTGAAGCGACCCCCACACATGCCTCCTTCGCCATTAGATCAGTAGGGCGAGTGGTGAATCAATCAGTCCTCCGTCACATTGTTTTGGAAATGAAACCAAAGGTTTTTCCCACTGATATCCCAACAACCATCTCTTCCCATCTCTCTCCACATAAATCTGTGAGCTATTACAACCCACAAACAGAAATGCAGTTTTATATGACTGGTGTGGCTAGCTAGTCTCCAAAAGTCTCATTTAATTGGATTAACTTTTGTAGAAGTTCCTGAGTACAGAATGAGTCATCAAACATTTGAAACCCTTGTACAGAAGCGCATATATTTGGCATATAACAAGAGATAAATGATGAATTAACACAGGGACACAGGATTAACTGGCAAAATGTAATGTGTATTTCATAGTGACTTTAAAGTTACCAACAGTTTATGAATATTAATGATGTGAGAGGGAGAGGGGATCATTTCAGTAACAAAAAGAAGGCAGATGTATAAGAATACTGAACTAATATAAGACAGGATAAATACTGTTTTGTCTCCAGAGGGAAATTTTGCTTGGGCAATACCCCTATGCCCAGCTGTAATCAGCTTTCAGTACAGTGGTTCTCTGCTGACAACAAAAATAAGAACAGAAGATACATATACTGTTCTGCTCATAAGTTTATATACCCTGGCAGAGTTTATAATATGTGCCCCATTCTTTAAAGAGAACATGAGTGATCAGGCAAACACATTTCTTTTATATTTAATGGGATTTAAATTAAACTATAAGGCATCACATATTACGATCACTACAAAGATCATTATAAAGATATTGAGTGGGTCCCCGTTCAAAAGTTTGCATACCTTTTAGTTGACAAGACAAATATTATTGGTAATTACTTTAATATATATTTAATAGGTCTAGGAGACTTGATTATTATACAGCTTTATAGTGATGGGGAGCTATATGGAGAAGGGGTGGGAATAAATAAATGAATAAGTTTGTACTTTCACACTGCTTTTTGGACATGTAAATCAAAGCATATGTTGTTTTCAGTTTTCATGCTTACTTTAGTAACCTGTTGGGTTTTTTTATGTCTGTCTACCACTGTATGACTATTTTGTTTATTTACATGTTCGAAATAAACAGCTAGTAACTAACTAACTAAGTTGTTAATAGTGTGTATTGCTCCCTTTAGCATCAATGATGACTTGCAGTCTTTTGTAATGGTTGTAGACGAGGCCCTTCATTTTATCAGGTGGTAGAGCTGCTCATTCTTCTTGCCAAAAAGCCTCCAGGTCCCATAATGTCTTGGGTATTCCTGCATGAACCAGTTTGAGATCCTCCCAGGTCAGGAGACTGTTAAGGCCACTGTAGAACATTCACTTCTTCTGCTGTAGCCACTGAAGGTTCCGCTTGGCCTTGTGTTTTTGATCACTGTCATATCGGAAGGTCCAAGTGCGTCCCATGTGCAGCTTCTAAATTTATAAATGCAAAGTATCCAGTATTTTCCGGCATTTTGACATTCACTCCCTCCCTCTAATGTCAGCAATCCACCTCGTTCCCTCACAGTAGGAATGGTGTACTTTTTGTCACAGGCCTTGTTGACCCCTCTCATAACGTAGTGTTTGAGGGCTGTGAACAAAGTTTTTTTTATCTCACCACTCCAAATGACTTTGTTCCAGAAGTTTTGAGGGCTGCAGTATCAGTCACATTATCAAAAAATGTCCAGGTTCACACATTAGCCCAGAGGTGTGTAAATATATGCACACAGTAGTATTACACATGCCTTGAGTAAAGATATAAAAACATAGGCATTGTAGAAATGAAAAGTCATTAAACCATAACAAATATGAATTACATAGAGCTTTTGTGCATAAAGCCATGAGGAGTTTTAACACTAACAAGACTAGTGTTTAAAGCTCTGTGTGGTTTGGCCCCTCTGCCAAAATTTAAAAAGATCTTTTATAGTTTGGCTTCAGTAGAAGTTGGCCTGTAGGAAAAAAATGCCGCCTCAGTTGTAACATATTCCATTAGACAGAGCCACATTCAGTCAAATTCTGCTTTTGAGAGATTGCTTATGCTTTAAGGCTTTGTTTTCAGACTTGCGCTGCTGTCTCTACAGAGGTTTCATCGCACTTGAAAACAAGACGTTTATCATTGAGCCAGCGCCTGGACATGACAGCGGTGTTCACCTCATCTACCGAGTGGAAGAACTCACACTGACCCCGGGATCCTGCGGCCACGGCTTCAACATGTCCTCTGTCGCCCCTGAAAACCACATCAAAAGTCCCTTTCAGTCCTTCCACACGAGGGTGAGATGTTTTTTTATCATAAAGCTTGTATCAGAGCCAGTACATATCACAGTTCAAAGCTGTGTTGTCATCGGTGTTCGCAGATTTTTTTTGTTGTATTTAATTTTCAAACGTTTCTGGAGAGGGTGAGACTGACATTCACTTGATGAAAGATAAATGGGCTTTTGACCAAAGATCAGAAACTGGCACGTGGACCACTTTGGATGAGTTCCCAGAGGGTGTTGCCATGGGCTTGACACATTTTATCTGCGCTTAGAGCCCAAAGTCGAGGGCCCATGCAGGTTTGGCCAACGATTTACATGGTGCAGGTGCAGCATCCATCTGCCACTATTCCCAAGCATTAAAAACTCCATCTGAGTCAGGAAGTGAAACTCACCAACATACAGTAGTTAATGACCCCTGAGTAATAGCTGGGCTTTGCCATTTTAGAAGAGCATCAGTTCTGTCTCAGCTGACGGGATATTAAGCAAGAGGATCACTGAATATGGATGGATGACACTGCATGATTTTGTGTGATAACTATAGTGCTGATACTGGAATGAAGTAAAGTTACTGGCGGCTTAGTAGCAGCTTTCTGGCAGACTTGCTTATTTGCTTTTTTGCCAATAGTTAGATGGAACCATTGATACTACCCTCATACCTGATTGTTAAATATGAAGCTACAGCTAGAAGCTTAGCTTAGCAGAACTTAGCAGGACTGGAAACAGGAAGAAACATTTACGGCAATTACATCACTCCTGAAAGTCACTCAGCCCAAGAAATGTCACATCCATGCTCTCATCAAGTGTGATGCTGAAAACTGTGGCTTCTTTCAAACCTGCTGCACTTGCACTTTGATGGCATTGTTCAGCACTTCTGGCTGACATGGGAATGTCTTTTATTCTTGATTTCATTGTCCCTTTGTTTGGTAAATCCATTAAATAAAATCTCTGAGCTTCAGAGGAAAGTCTCCTTACCGTGTTCGCCGTAAGCAAATGACTTTCCACATTTTCCAATTCAGTGAGCAATGATAGCGCAGTGGTTCCCAACTGGTTGGTCATGGTCCCAAAGTGGGTCATGGGTCCATTCTGAATGGACCACAGGTGACAGGCAAATGTATCAAGTTTGTAGAAAACAAACAAACTTTTTTTTTTTAAGATATTTTTGGGGGGCATTTTCAGCCTTTAATGGATAGGACGGACGAGTGTGAAGGGAGGAGAGAGAGAGGGAGTGACATGCAGCAAAGGGCCACAGGCTGGAGTCGTCTCAAAATGGTATTTAACACTTAAAGGCACTGTATGTAAGAATGTGGCCAAAACGGTTACTGCACTTAAATTGAAAATACTGCTGCTAGTCGTGTCCGCCCCCCCCTCCTCTACAGATCGGAGTTTGCTGGACAACGGCACGCTGGAGACTGATTTGTTTGCCCACGGGCGGCTGCCGTGGCAGGGCCGCGTCACCGTGTCTTTGATCTTCAGTTTTCCAGCGAACCGTTCGAGCAAGTTGGGCTTCTCTGCTGCTAACGCTGCTGCCGGGATACAGCGGAGGAGGAGCCGGCTGCTAATGCTATGTACCGGGACACTGCTAATGCTGCTTGCCGTGCTGCTAACGTTTGTTTCTCAAAAAAATCAGTCGGGTCGATGACCCACCTGCACATGGGCTACAATGTATGATCGAAAATGAATGACAGTTGAAAGTATTCGAAATGTCCATCCCCGTCTAGCTATGATGCTAGTTAGCCAACTTTGGGTAAAGCTTACCTGTCGAGGAGAAGAGTAGCCACTTCGACATCCGATTTCAAATTCTTCTCCACTTTCAGCCGTCTCGACCGTTCAAAAGCATCTCCTATATTGACCCTCGCTTTGCCTCGAGTTTTGTCTTGGCGTTTTTGGGAATCATAACGAGGTCGTTTGGGTTTAGTTGCACCGACAGCCATTGTTGCTCAGTTGTAACTGTAACTGATGCTGAGACTCTACTGACTGCGTGACTGGTAGACGGCGGTGGGTGGCGCAACAGGCCAAAACACAAATTCAAAACATAAACATGATTTGCAGACCGTAATTTTTTTTTTTAAATGTGAATATTCTGGCTGTACTATTGTTGTCGGTGAGATCAGTATGTTATATGAACATTATTCCTCAGTCTCTGTGACATATTAGGATGATTTTACAACTATTTGCTTTAGATTTCTTACATATAGCTCCTTTAACGTTCATCAAACAACATTTTCAAGACATATAGTTCCCACAGCCGGTCCTTCTAAAACACAAAATCCCTCTTCTCTGTCCACAACATTTGTAATGCCTGGACCTTTACTTTAGCTTTCTCAAGTAGCGGGCCTGCTATGGCCTTACCGAGCCCACTCCAGCAGCGTCATTGTTTTTCCCACTGTTCAGTGAAGACAGAAAAAAAGGTAAAAAAACGTAAAAATATCTTTAAAAAAACAAAAATTTGGCATGCGCATGAGAGAGCGATTAGCATTTCCATAAAACTCTCTTGCACACCATGTGCCACCATTGACATGCTTGCCTTAGGTTGCTGACCCCTGGATTAAACAAACAACATATAACATGTCTTGTATGTATAACATGATGAGCTTTAAAGCTACAGGTTGTTTTTTGCCTTTGGCCTGAGCAAGTCAAGCTGTTTCCCCCTGTTTTTAGTGTTTATGCTAAGCTAAGATAACCAACTGCAAGCTGTCTCATAATTAACGTACAGATATGAGATTGGTATTGATTTTCTTCTCTAAGTCTTTGCAAATCTTTTTTCGGGTATTGCAGGCTTGAAAGGGTTTATCTTTAGGCTTTTAATATAAGCCAACAGGAAGCAATAGTACATCCATTGTGTGTCTATGATATTTGCCAGTGCTTGAAATATAAAGTCGCCTGATCTTAAGGAGGATCAAGTGGATAAAAGTACTTGAAAAACATTTTTTTTAGCAAATCTCAGATCATTTACTAACAAGCAGCATCTCTGTTTTTACTACAGCATAAAAGGCACACTCAGAAGATGACCAAGTACGTTGAGCTGATCATCGTTGCAGACAACAGAGAGGTAATGCACCCACTTCACCTCCATTCACAAACGCCATGTTTGAACAACAGAAGACAACACAGTGGAAACACAGCAGCCCCTCATGTCATGGAGCAGAAAAAAAGCAGGGTAAGCTGTAGTAACAGCAGAGGAGGTCCCGCTGGGGCTGCAGAATTAGGTCAGTGTGCAACAAGCAGTGTGGTCTTGTGGCAGAGGCTTCGTTTTGACAGGAAGTGCTGAACGATTCCCCAGCTGACCAGACAGGAAACAGGAAAAAGTCGTGTGGATACAGAAGAGTCCCCCTTAAGCACTGACAAGCTCATTGTGGGGTTTCCTCTTGGCAGCCCTTTGCTAATGCCCCTGACCCGCATGGAAAGAGAGGAAACGGGGAAAAAAAAGAAAGGATAAGGGATCAAGAATGTTGTCAGACTCAGATTTGAAGTACAGCACCAACACAGGTGGATACACAGTAGGGTGGAAATAGTATGTTTGACTTTGCTGCAATTTGGATCAAAAGCTTTGCAGGCTGTCAAGATCTGCCAATATACCTGCTCCCTGCGGCCACGCCATTTGTCTCTCTAACACTAGGAGATTTTTCTAGATCCAGATGGTCACAGCTTGACAAGCTGCCTAACACTCAGTAAAACGTATTGCCTTTGCAGGTGTCCAGCGTTGTTTCATGCCTTTTAGTTCTGAAGATGAGTGTAACTACAGTATTATTCATGTCTTCATGCAACTCAACTACCTCTGAGCGGACATGTTCCCACGTCTACCGCTGATTACATGTCTTTGTGTTTTTAGTTTCAGAAACAGGGGAGGGACGTGGAGAAGGTGAAACAGAGACTGGCAGAGATAGCCAATTACGTGGACAAGGTAAAACATCCTCTCCCCTTTGCACAGAAGGGATAAATCACTTTTTTAAAATAGAAATATTGCTGGCAGCGGAGATTAATGGGATGACTGTGTGATGTATTAATGTCCTACTGGAACAGCTGCTTTTAGTCTGTCTAAAAGCTCTGCTGCCAGAGCTGTGGATCTATAGCCAGCAGATATGGTAGGCAGATGGATTTGTTTAAGGGAAGCAGAGATAGAGACAGGAAAAATACATGCTTTCATCATGTAGAAAACATGAAAAATTCTAACACAGAAGGTTTCATTTATTCAGCTGTTTCTTCTATGAAATACAATCTAACTGAATTGAGTAACCAAAGGTGACAGTGTCTTGGATCATTCATGTAATCTAAGCTCCATAAGTCTGCCAACCTTTCTCTCCACACCGACTCTCTCTGCTTATCAGTTTTACAGGGCCCTGAACATCCGGGTGGCCCTCGTGGGTCTTGAGGTGTGGAGTGACTCTGATAAATGTCCCGTCACCCAGGATCCCTTCACCACCCTGCACGAGTTCCTCGACTGGAGGAAGGTCAAACTGCTGCCACAGAAGCCTCACGACAACGCTCAGCTCATAAGGTGGAAATTTAATTTAACAGGAGATATCGAGTCCAGAAATGAACAGAAAAATGTTTATATTGGTATGCAAACATAAGGCCGTACTAATGTTTACATGACTCAGCCCATCAGCTGCTTATACTTTGCATTATTGCGAACCATTTTCCAAAGGGTGATTTCTGACCCAGTCAGCAATTGTTTTCCATTAAATTTCCTGTCGGGTGTAAACCACGTTGCTGTAAGTTAATTTTCACAGAAAATTGGAAATAATTAAAAATATGCTGCTACCTGAATGTTTATTTGGATCCCCATTAGCTGTCGCCTTGGCAACAACTACTCTACTAGGGTCCAAATGTACAATCAACAAATGTTTGCACTTACACCACATACAGTGAATAAAACAGTTGCGATATCACCATCATCTAGAACGAAGCATTTGACAGTACAACACAGTGTTTCCCCTGGGATGGAGTTGTAGCAGGGAAGGTACTACAACGCAAATAAGAAAAAATGCACAAAACACGTGCAATTTTATTTTTATTTTAGAAAATCTTAACTTATTTTATTTATCCATTTTTTAATTGTATTTTATTTTATTTTATTTGTCCATTTTTTTAAATTTTTTTTATTTATGCATTTATTTTATTTATCCATGTTTTAATTGTATTTTATTTATCATTTTTTTAATTTTATTTTATTTATCCATTTTTTTTAACATTTTATTTTACTTTATTTTATTTTATTTTTTGTCAGTGTCAGTGTGCCTTGCCAGGAGGTTTCTATTGACGCATGTGGAATACCTACAATCGCTGTATCCAGAGTGATAATTCTTAATCCATGATCAGCATTATTTGCTTCATTGCTGACATCTACCTGGTGCTTGTTGTTGTAATCGTTGTCCTGACTATATTGGGCCCTAAGTCAGTGTCCAAGTCCTATGCCCAAAGTTTCTCATTTACATGTTTTCCTCACAGATGTGTGAAGTGACCGGTGCATAAAGCATACTTAGTGGATATTAATGTAACATTAATTTCATAAGATAAGACAAAGCCCTCTCCTTTCCTCTCTTCCCCTTTCTCATCTCGGAAAAATAAATAAATAAATTCAGCAGCAGCGGTGGTCATATTTCAGCACTGGTGTGATGCCGCTGCCAGATGCACATAGGGGGAAAACTGAAACATGAAATCTCAATTCATAATGCAAAGAAAGTTAAAGTGTTTTTTACTTATTCATGTTTTAGGCTTGTTCTCAAAAATACCCACTTCAGTTGACAATCCCATTGAAATATGGCTCTGTGCATTTCCTGTTCTTCCATGTGCTGGTCTTTGAGGTAGTGTTATGTTACCTCTCCTCACCTGTTTGATAACTGTGTGTGCTTCTAGAAATTAAATATGTCTAATTGTAGATAATTTGACTGTTTTAAAACCACTGCATTTGTCAGCAAAGTTCATCTGCTACATCTAAACCTGGTAGGACATTAATCTGCCTTAATAGAAATCCAGCTGCAATAATACGTTCACAATAAGTGGGTAATAAGCTTTAAAAACGCACAGCTGGTTTCATCCTGTAACATTCTTATCTCCTCATCGGCCATACTTCTGTCCCTTGCAGCGGGGTTTACTTCCAGGGCACCACCATTGGCATGGCGCCCATTATGAGCATGTGCACAGCTGAGCAGTCTGGAGGCATTGTCATGGTGAGTATAAAACCTTCGTGCCGCTCCCACCCTCCTCTTCCTCTGTGCAGCCTGATTGTATCAGTGTGGACATTGTTCAGATTCAGCAGGCTAACACAATCCAGACATGATTTACACAGAAAAGGTGTTCGCCATTTTCTGGCAGGAAGCCGTGCTTTTAAACATAATGATATTTGTGCTGGCGCTGCCTCAACATTCATGGCCTCATCATTACCACAAACACCAACGTGCACAAAGGAATATGTAAAAATAGACTCTCAGTGGTTATGCACCCCCTTGTAAGGTCATTTTTAGTCTTGCTATCATTCAATCAGGCTTTCCTTTGACATCTCTAAAAGGCTTGGTGGGGCATGGGGGTAAATCAATGGCCACAGCGTTTAAACAAAACCACATTTACATTTTTATGAGATGTGATAAATTGTTTATGCCAGCCCTTAAAGAGCACACTTTTGAAATTTTTACACACAACTGCGCATCACCCCTGGTACACTGAATTATTGCACATAGTAAATTAGCTGCCTGTTGGGCTCCTCTGCCGGCTGGAGCACTTGACATCTATGCCAAATCACAAAGTGGATATCAGCCCAGTGCCATTACGCTCCAGCCCAGATGTGTATCCCCCATTAATAGATATGTTTTCTGCTGGCCGTGGCTGCGGTGAGGCATCTCCAGATGTTTGTCTTCCCCATTACTTAGAGATGGCAGATGTCTTGGACGGAGATAAAAGGGCCATGTTACCAGTTAGAAGGCGGTCAGATGAGATGAACCATTTCTCAAACCATTCACTACCATGTGTGTTAATCAGCCTCAAATCCTTTATTTGCTCCACATGGCCTTTCAGTTTAAACACCATAATGCTATTTATTTTTCCCCATTAAACTCACATGAGTCTTTCTATGTGAGTGGTTTGGTTCAAACTGTGACAGCTCACAATACCCACTTTTTTATAAGGTATTCTTTGCAGGGAGTTACTTTCTCACATGGATGGAAAAGATATCAGAGAGACTATCGGAGCATTTCTTGTAACCAACACTATCAAATTCTCACCATCACAACAATGCCTTATAGCTGCTTCAAAGTAATGACTGTGGCTTCCAAGAGTTTCATCCATTTCTGCTGACTCTGATATTACACTTTTTTTGTGAGGAAGCGCTCAGCTGTGAATTGCACACACACGCCGAGACACACACTGATAAACATGACGGGAGCAGGGGAAAGTTTTCCCATCCTTCTTGTTAAAAGGCGGGGTGCAGCTCCCCACGATGCCGCTCTGTAATCAGAGCAGAAAATAGCGTGCCCTCAGCTTTGACGTCTGACCCCGCCTTCAAAGGAAGCGTGTGATTTTCTCATGTGGAGAACTTTTGAATAATGCAGCGAGATATACAGTAGCTACGTGGGTGACTTCTTTCTCAGGATTCTCAGATTTTAAATGCTGACTTGTGCGTAATAATAAGAGTGGGGGCGTTTTGTTATGTATCGATCAGCTTTGTTAAATATATAACCAACATACCATCAATTATACAGCATTTATCTGGCTGGAACACGCTTCTCTGGGCATTAAGGTGAACGTGCATGGCTCTTTTGAAGTCACAGACATTTGTGTTTGGATTTAGCCAACAGGCTGCTGGCAGTAGCTTCATTAGTACTATACATACCTGAGATCAGTATCAGTCTTCTAATCAGAGGCCTTGTCCACACAGGTTTCATTACAAATACAGCTATGCGTTTTGTTTTTTTCCGGCCAAACACATTTCACGTCACTTAAAACAGACCTTTTCTAAAACTTCATCCAGGGTGAAGATTTCAGAAACTTTTCAGTGTTGACATGCAGACAGAGAGGCGTCAGAGTGTGTGCCGTTATCTCCTTTGTGAGGCGTCACAAATGAATATTTACACATAATATACAGTCACTTTTCCACTATATGGAAGAACAGAGGTGTCAGAATGCCAACAAGGTCAACATCATCTTGTCAGTGAAGATTCTCAGTCATCCAGGTCATGATAATCTTGAGTGCTATATTGTAGGCAACTGGACTTGCTTGAGTTTCTTAAAGATGTTTCTTCTTCTTCTTCAGTTCTGATGGACTGGAGTGGAGTCGTAGGCTTTAAAATCTGTGTGGGTGTGAACCCTTACAGGTCACGTGTGACTCAGAGCTCACGTGACCTCAACGACTATGTAAGGGTTCACACCCACACAGAGTGTAAAGCCTGCAACTCCACACCAGTTCATTATATCTAAAGAAGCCTCTTGGATGAGAGTCTTAAAGAAACGCAAGCAAGTCTAGTTGCCTATGATGTAGCATTTACAGTAAAATCAACATCTTCTTCTTCTTCTTCATCTTCTTTGTGTGGCTGTAGGGTTTGGGTTACGTCACCGCCTGTTGGTTTGGCCTGCTCTTACCAAACCAAGAAGGGGGGTGTTGACTTCAATGACAGGCCTTGTGTGGATGGGAATTTTTTTGAGAATAAAGGAGGGGAAAACCCTGTTTTCAGAAATACCCCTGTCAGTGTGGACTAGGCGTAACTTGCTTATTCACCATCTGGCAAACTATTAATTTAATGTCGCAACATCAGTAAGAATATTCTCCCAATAATATTGTGGGAAGTGTTTGCAAAATCACGCATGAGATGATAAAAATTGATGGTCAACGTGTTAAACTATGTTCTGTTGTTATGCATTACATTAATTTCATTTAGATAAATGTCTGATCAGTCACTTTCTATCACCGAATGAGGAAACAACAATGGTGATTGAACCCATGGCCCATTGATGAAAGCCCATGCATTTGCAGCACAGTATTACATCATCACACATGACAGTGGTGACTAACATCATCACATATGAATACAATTGGGCTCATCAAATCCACAAGAGTCTCAGCTCTCTAGTCATACCCAGTTGATGCAATTCCAAGACTGGTTAGGGACCCCGTTATACAGAAGTATTCAAAAAAAACATTTTTACGAAAAGAGAAAGATATGCATTTGTACTGCATGCAAAAACCTGCATGGTTTTGCCAAAAACTGCATGAGATTAGCACCAAGTGGGCATGTCTGTAAAGGGGGGACCATTTATAATTTGATATCTTGAGATGAGAGTTCAAGGGACCTCTTGAAAATGGCAAGTTTTTCCCCTTGCCAAAATGTAGTTTAACTTTGGAGCATTATTTAGCTCCATTCCAGGCACAATTGGATGCCTTCGGTTGTCTAGGCTCATAGGATACCACTACCTTCATGTCAGCTGAAAGAACGTTTACTTTTGATTATTGACCCACCCACCCATGATACTCTCTAGTAAGCTTACCCAAACCCGCCCCACCCGCGGGTTGTGGGTCGACCCGTGCAACTCTGTCAGCCTGATTTCAAACCTTAGTCTGCAAACAAACACTGCAATTACTGCTTATGGACATAGGTGCCACCAAAAGGAAAGAAACAGTGATCTCTGAGATTGTAACTTTACCAACTCATTGGGTAAACCTCTTAAATTTCAATTTGCTCAGAATAATGTGTTCAAATAGCAAAATTCAGCTCAAAAATGACACAAAATGATCATATCATCACAAGACGATGTGGATAAGGAGCTGTCATTTTGTCATTCATCTCCATCTGTCCTCATTCCAGTCTCACCTTGGTGTATAGTACGGCACTAACTTTATTTCTCAGTCAACCCATCAAACTCTCCCTTGTCTCTGTCTGCATCTCAACCCGTCTGTCTACAAAACTAGGTGAAACCGAAACTTCCACCACTCTCTCGTCATTCTCCGTCTCTGTCTGGCATTTGTCTTGCTTATCAGTGCGGCAGCAAGTCATACAGCGCTGAGTTTATGGAGCTTACTGCAGTCGCAGTCTCCACCAGCAGCGGGTGTGATTGGGTCTGCAGGGGTAATGGAATGGCAGATGAATGCAGGCCTCCATGAGGAGAATGAGTAATAGAAGAAGGACGAGGGGCCAGATCGGACAGTTACTGAAATGTTTTGGGAATTGGGGATTTAAAAATTGTCTTCTTTGAACTTTGCATTTTCTTTCTTCTCTTTTTCCCCCTTTTTGTGAGCGATGGTGCACTTCAGTAAGGCTTGGTTTCAAAGCGTGACTTTGTGTGAATTTCACATCACTCACAATCAAACATACAAGATTGCACATAACTTACGTGTTCTCACGTTCTGGTGTCCCTTTTTTTCTCTATCTCAGGATCACTCTGAGAACCCGCTGGGTGCAGCTGTGACTTTGGCTCACGAGCTGGGACACAATTTTGGGATGAACCACGACACTCCAGAGCGCGGCTGTGGCTGCAGGATGACCGTTGACCGTGGAGGCTGCATCATGACCCCGTCCACAGGGTGAGTTTCTTGTGATCTAGTTCATACAAAACAGTTTCCATGAAGAAATTAAATGTTTGCAATCAAGGTCAAGATTAATGTGATCCAAATGTTCCTGCTGCTGGACTGATGGAGACAGCTGTAATTTGCAGCTAAATTTTAATTAAATGCCTAATTCACCACACTGTTATTGCAATTATTACTGTTTTCTTTAGCGTTTCACTACTATATATGTATTTAGATTGTAGCTTCAGGCTGATATGGCTTATAATTTAAAAATATTAGCTCAGACATGGGTTAAAATTCAGCACTTTAGGCTGTTTATCTCTGTTGTGGGTGCATCGATTTAAAGCTGTTAAACAATTACCCTTTTAAAGCCTTGTTTCACACAGCTGCGGGATTAAAATGTTTATTAGTTTTACTTTTCTGAATAAATTAGGCCTTTTTTTCACCTGAGCAGTCAAAAAAGATTGATTAAGATCCACAGGTTGGATCATGTTCATCTGTACACGGTGCTCCATTGTTTATGTGTTGTTGTATGAGAGGAAGCTCAACACACGCACACACACATAGACACACAGTTTGGCCTGAGACTAAAGCAGCTGCTCTGGTATTCTACTCATGTTGCCTGGGTTGCCGAGATAACACTGCTGCTGCAAGTGATGGACGGACTCTGTGACTGTTGGTAAACAGCGAGCAGATAAGGCGAACCCAGAGCGCAATACCAGATTTCACTCTTGGTCCGGTGCCAGTTTGGTTTGTCTGATGGTGAGTGCCACAAGCCACAGATGAATGTGGTCAGGGTGGATTCCATAAGACTGTGAGGAAGACGACGACAGAAAGCCGCGAGATACAGTTACAGTTGGTATTTGGATATTTTTTTAAGTCTTCAATGTACAAAAGAATTTCTCACACAGACCCACCCACTTCTTAGAAAACCATCATCTGTCGTAGCCTTCATCTGTCCCACACATCAGTGATATCAGTGGTGTTAAATCATGCACGTTGATGAGGATTTGTCCAATTTTGAGAATATACTGTAGCAGGAAAGGTTGCCAGCTGGGCCGCTGCTGACCATTTGGGTGCCCTGAGCGTAATTGCTTTGTGGTTATGTGTATCAAATAGCTTATAATGGTCTAACGGTGCCTATTGTAGTTGTGCTTAATCTTAACTTTAAAAAAAGTTCATCATGATTGATGATCAGTGGCTGTTTGGGTGCCCTCCACACAGTGCATGATGTGCACGTAGTGGCAGCACTAGTTGCCAGATCTTAAAAAACGTTGTGGGTGAGCCACAGCTTCAGCTGTTTGAGTTTAAGGCCAGTGTTTACGAGATGGTGGTGGTGCAGTGTTTTCCAATTTGAGGTGAATCAGTCATCAAGCAAGCAGATTAGAGACGTCCTCGACTGTAGGTCGGTTAGCGGCGATCTATGCAGGCTGTCAGAGGGCGAGGATCAATAACAGTGCTACATGCACTTGAAAATATATTAAAAACACCTGCTCAACAATCCAGTAGCAGACAGGACCAAAACATATGGCTGTGGGTTACCAGGTCACACCCACATCATAAGCAATTCTCATCTACTCCTGAAAAAGTTTTGCAAGTTTGCAGCGGGTCAGATGGAGTAAGTATTCTACGCCTGAAGCATGTTTATGGAGAATGAACCATAGCTAGACCGGTGAACTGGCCAGGGATCTGTATCAAGGTTGTTTGTGTATGTCATGTGGTTTAGATTACTTTAAGCCAATGTATAGTCATAGGATTTTCTAAACTCCCAAACATTTATATCAGTTTTGGTCGGCAGAACCCACATTGCGAGGTGCCCACAAGCTCACCTGGTAGAGCGGGCACCCCATGTACAAAGGTTGTGTTCTTGCTGCAGGGGCCATGGGTTCGATTCCAGCCCACAGCCCCTTCCTGCATTTCATCCCCACTTTATCTCCCCCTTTCACGGTAAAGGCAAAAAAGCCCCAAAATTATCTTTTAAAAAAGGAACCGTATTGGAAAGACTATACAATGAACCAAACCAATTGCGAAGACACTTTTGATATTTGTGAGTCGAGCTTCTCTCCTATTGCACTGTAACATGTTATAAGGCAGTGGTTCCTGACTGGTCGCAGCCACACGGTCCTTAGTCATTAATTCAAAGTCCACACAATTAAATACATTCGGCGTCATACTTGCCTTTGGCCATATCTTTGAGCTAGTTTACTGTGTCTGTCACTTAGCTGCTCATTAGTCACTCACTCTACAGCAGGACACAGCACTTCAAAATAAGAGTCCTGTGCTGGAAAGTCATTGTACCTAAAAATACAGTGTTTTTAACAAACTTAACATGTTTGTGAGTCACTTGCGGTCCATTCAGAATGGGCCCATGACCCACTTTTGGACCACGACACACCAGTTGGGAACCACTATTCTAAGGGAGAAGATGCACAGATGAAAGACACAGTTACAATTACATCACAATCTGTCCCTGTGGATTTATGATTTTACTGGCACTAGTTGTGGTTATTGTCATTACAGGCTGACTGAACATGCAGAATAAGGCTTCAGTTATGTTCATAAATCAGCAGAGACACAAAGGAAGAAAACCACGGGTGGCGTGTGACCACATTCTATAAAAATGCCACAAAATCTGCTGAAAACACATAAATAATATAACGTACTAAGAATTGTCCCAGAGATCTTGAATGACCTTTTACTACACATAAAAAAAGAAGGGAGGGGGAGGGGCTGTCAAAAACTGTGCTTATTTGTGCAGCCGCTGGCAACAGTGAGCTCATCCTGCTGTTCTCATACTACAACATTTATTACAGAGGAACACCACGGGATTTATGCAGTGTAGTTTTATGCGCTCGACGTCCTGACATGACGACTTTGCTGCAGCTCGTCAACGGCCAAAGATATTTAATGATGTCATGCGGAGCGTTTAGAAAAATGACTTCATGATCTAAATGGGTGAGAATGAGTCAGAGTGGTATTGAATTCTCTACAACAGAATAGGTTAATGAAGCACAGTCTCTGCTTTTCAGCACTCTCTGCTGTGTAATTATGAGATCAGACACATTAATAGTTGAGTGAGGTGATCAGTGACCTTTCATTCTGAAACTCGCTCCTCTGTTTGCTAAGTAAAGGCTGGGATAAATCCATACACAGCGGTACGCTGACATTTTGCCTGGCAATTTTGTGTTCATACCCTGACTCCAAGTATCAATATTTCCATGTTTAATTATCAATATTTAATTGTGCATTGACCATTGCTCACTGTGGTCTGTATGTTTGCACAATGAATTTAATGGAGTTCATTGATTTTTACAAAGTTGTTGATCAGTCAAAGACTCACAGCGTCTGCAACAAAACATACTGAGGTGAGATGAACACAAAGAGAACTGCAAGATAATGCAGCACATTAACAAGTCACACCCTGAGTGACTGCTTTATTACTTACACCTTTACAATTAGGTGAAGTTCAGTACAGCTGTGCTGTTAGCTTATCAGATTTAGTTTTTCATTGATATTGTATCAGAGTCTGTGCAAGTGTTTGCCAGCTGTTGAATTTTCTACTGCAGAACTTTGGCAAAATGTTGCACTTAGGCCTGGGAGATAAGGCCAAAAATGTCATCATGATGAAAGCTTTTGTATCAGTAGATTAGAGCTGCCCCCGACTAAGACTCACCAATAGTCGTCATTTAGTCGACAAGTCGCCCGCATGTTTACGATATTAATTTAATTATTAAATTACAATAAACTCACACACTGGAAAAAAACAACTTAAAATTAATTTTGAGAAGGTGAAGGATGAGCCCAAGGTGATATGTAAACTCTGCAGGCAAACATTTAGCAATCATTTGTCGAGTACAAACATGACGTATCATCTGAAACATGGAAGTAGCTACATGCCCATTAGCCCACAGCGTCATTAACAGGCGGCTCGCTCAGTGTGTGACTTGCACTTGTAGATAAAATATAGGCCCATATTAATGAAGGTTCATTAGTAGGGATGCACCGATCCGATATCTGGATCGAATATCAGGATATCATCAAAATAGATGGATCGGGTATCGGAAAATGCAACCTATACCAGAGGTGATCCTTTCCCTTTAAATCTATTGTGATGCGAGCTGCATCATACGTCATGGAGCTGAGGAGAGAATCTGCTGTGTGGAGGTATTTCACACTATTTCAACTGCTGTTTCACATTTGTTTATTTTTGTTTTAATTATATAGTTCATCATTGCATTAATCTTTTTCATCTTGTTTCATTTTATTTTTTGAAAGAACTGTGTAGTCATCAATGCCTGATGCCTCTAGTCTTTTCTGTTCTACATGTAAAGGTATATAGCTTTTTAGGTCAACCATGGTATGGGATCAGTATCGGCATCAGTATCGAAACTGAAAAAGCTGGATCGGTGCATTTCTATTCATTAGTACGATTTTGTATTTCTCTGTAATGTAGCACAGTGTTAACAATGTTACTGATAGTATTCTTTCTCATACCTTGAACTCAAAACATTGTGTTGCCCCGCCCTAAATATATCATTTAATAGTTACATTGATATCATAAATATGACTACTATTGGTTGACTAGGAAAATTCTTCGTTGGGGGGCAGCCCTAGTCGCCCAGCCAAAGTAAAACCATGAATCTATGGATCATTTCAACATCTTTTGACTCATTGTTTTGGTTTTTCAAACCATAAAACTAAAATGTTTTGGTTCAACTCTGCCACTCTCATTAAACCCAGCAACTAACTGGTGAACAGAGTAGAGCGTTTAGCAGGTAATGAGCCAGATATTTCCCTCAGGAGGTGGTGGAGATAAAAACAGCTAAAAGCAGAGTAAATATCGGACTTGCATTTGTTAGGTGAACACAAACAAAACTCCAAATGAATGCTAATGTTGCTGTGTATCTGTTGGATGTGCAAATAGGCAATTTGTTGTCTTTACAGCTTATTTTTATGTTTTCAAGGGGCCAAGAAAATGAAATCAATTACCGCTGCTTTAAACCTATATTAATGTT